ACATAATTTTTTTTTTTTTTACTCTAAAATAAATTTGAAAATAAGAGGGAAAAAATTCGAAAAATTCGAACCCCAAACAAGACTCAAAAAATCAAAACAAAAAAGAAATTCGGCCCCTCAACAAAAGGTAATAACCGAAAAGAAAAAATAAAACAAAGGACTAACAAGATGACACTTTTTTTTAAGACTCAATTCAAAAAAATAAAGGGAAAATTCGAACAAAAATTCGAACCCCAACAAAAAATAAAGAGAAATTCGGCCCCTCAGCAAAAGGCAAATCAAAAAAAATAAAAGATAAGATACGATAAAAAAAACACGATCAACACCTCTCAATGAAAGCACCAATGATGAAGGACCGCTGATCGGTGTTGTTATTTATACGTTGGGTGTGAACGAACGGCGCACTCAGGGCCTTCGTTTATCCACGATAGGTGTATCTAGCAGACGCACTCAGGGCCTTCTTCTAGACACTGTGACTTCGAGACGCTCTCAGGGCCTTCTCTCTGACACTGTATGTAAACACGCACTAACGGCCTTGTTTATCACACGTTAGAACATAAAGTTCCCCTCAATTGGCTCACCAATTCAATACTCAATTCAACTTGTAAAATATGATGAGGTACATGGGGTATTTATAGTTGCAAAATAAATCTAAGCCTAATAGATCTAGATCTCCTATTTTATGCAATAAAATAAATCCTAACTCTAGAATGCAATAAAATCCTAAAGCTACCAAATAACTAATGCTTGGCTTGCACACCAAGCAATTCTAGAATGTTCCAAACTCCTCACATGTTCAAAAACTCTCGGCCCCTTCCATGCGTGCGCGCCGCCCGCGAGACCTACTCCTCGTCGGTCGCGGCTTCGCTAACGCCCTCCGTGCACGCGCGCGGTATTGCACGCACTTCACTTGCGCCGCCTTCCGCCCGTGCGTGGTACCTCGCGCCCTGCTCTCCTAGTCCTTCCCAGCGTAGGCCTCTGTCCGCGTCATCGCCACTCGCGCGCCCAGCGCGCCCCGCACGCCCATCGCCTGCTGCTCCGCGCGTGCCGCCAGTCTCCGAGGTCCGCTCTTCTATCGCGCAGCCTCGTGCGCCCGCAGTGCCGCGCGTACCGCCAACATCCTCACCGTTGCCCGCTACGCCTATGCCCACACGGATTAGGCGTCCGCCCGCATCGCTGGTACTCGCGCGCCCATCGCACGCCTCGCCCCAGCTGGCCAACCATCGCGCGTCCCGACCACTCTCGTGGTTGCTGCCCTCGCTCGACGTTCTGGTGCCCCAATCTCCTACGGCACACCCGCGTACGCCTGCTGTCGTCCGCGTGCTGCCAACCTCCGTCGCCGATCCTCCTGATGCGCACCATCGTGCGTCGCCTGCGTCGTCATCACTCATCCGGGCACCAATTCGACCTCTCGGCCCACTACGCGCATCAAGGTACGATGCGCGTTCTTTACTCGTGCTAGCACCCTTGTCGCCAACCGACTCCAAGTGCTCGCCCGACTCCTTAAGCTCTCCCGACTCCTTAAGCTCTCCCGACAGCCATGGATCCCAACCATCCAACCCAATACAATCACCAGCTCTTCAAATCCAACCATCCTCCATTCTACTCTTACCTCCCCTTCGAGCCACCATCTTGTGAACTCGCCTTTTCCTCGCACAAGGCTTGCACCAACACTTCTCTTCTTTAGCTTTTGCCTTGTGTTTCCTTCGAGTCCTTTTGGTCCTGCGCTTCCTGACCTTTGACTTCAGCTTCGGGCCACAACCTTTTGGCCAATCCCTCTTGCATGATGGCCGGTAAATTGGACTAGATGGCGCCTCCAACATATTTTCCAACCAAATATCGAGGCCATCGCCATCATCATTGTCGGACTCACCGGGGTTAATGACCACTTCCGTATCATTCCCCTCCTCTTCGAGACTTTCCTTGTCCTCAAGGATTAAGAAATTAAGCGCACCTTCTTCTTCGTGGTCATGAGCATCGATCACCATTGCTTCTCGGGCTTCCATGAGTTGACGTTCGTACTCCTTAATATTTCTTCGCTCATGAAGCTCATCAAGATATGTTGCTTCCCATGGTGTGAGCTCTCTTTCCAAACCTTCCAACATCTCCAGATCTTCCCAATCCAACTCATCCATTGGTGGGTAAGACATAATTTTTTTTTTTTGACTCTACAAAAAAAATTCGAACAAAATAGGGGAAAAAATTCGAAAAATTCGAACCCCCAACAAGACTCAAAAAATCGAAACAAAAAAGAAATTCGGCCCCTTAACAAAAGGTAATAACCGAAAAAAAATCAAAC